TGGTAAATGATGTATTTTTTAAAAATTAAGCTCAGTAGTCAAAATTACTTAATTCTTTTAAAGTCATGATATCCATATCTCATCTACATGACTACAACTGCATTTCTTCTCACCTTTGTGCCAAACAGATAACCCATCTCTACCAGGCTCTCCTGATGTAAACAAAAATCTCCCTATGCAGCAAATGATCTTCAACATTAATAAATATTATTGTTCCATTCAGGCTACTGTTACTATTGTCACACTTCAGTCAACTTGTAAAATAAAAAAAAATAATTGACAAAGTCAAAAGATTTCCACTTGGACAAGAAATTGCCACTGGTCACATCACAGAGATTTTAAGTCTGTAATATTATGAAGTACTGCAATAGTGCAGCAAAAAGAGGATTATGTCCATGGTTTATGTTGGCTGATGGGACATTTGCATGAGACTACTATCAAGCCTATTTAATTAGAAAATCAACTTCTCATTCAGTGAAACTGTATTTTATAACAAGAAAATCTAACTTACCTGTGTCTCAGTGAATGATTACAGCTGGATCCTAGCTCTCTAGAGGAATTAACAAACAACAGCTCATTTCTGAGACAGGGAGTTACTGCCTTATGCCTGGAAAATGGAACTACTTATCTCCTAGGTAATGCAAACTAAATGAGTGCAACCTGATCATCTCTGCTGGCACACAGTTCAAACCACAGCCATAAAGCATCTTGTATCATCAGAAAGATATGAGGAAACTGGCATTTATTTGAAGTTGCAGGATTTATCTGCATTTTTTGAGCACTCATTGGCATCAGGCTCAGATGCTGCATTCTGTGTTCCCACAGTAGCACAGCAGCACAGCCTGAAGACATGTGCTGTGAGCCTTAACTCACATCCTGTTTGCTCTTTGACATTTTATATCAGATTTTCATTTTATGTTCTCCTGGGAAAGTCACCTGTCCACAAAACACACACGTTATTTTGGACACACAGGACTCCTAATAATACATTACACAAATGCTCAGAAAAACTTTTCTCTTAGAATTTTAAAATACAGTGGTTTTCCCAAGCAAGTGAAGCCTGGGTTCTGTTATGGAAATGTATTTTGTTTACTGTACATGCTAATCAGTTTCCACATTGGCCTAGGCAGCTGAACCACTCCCCACCAGGAAGCCTATAACTTTACTTTCAATAACTAAGCAATGGAACGTTTATGCCCTGCCTTATGCAGCTCCTATCAGGGCTTTGGTGGTCATTTTTACCTGGGATGTGGCCATTCTGCTGGATAACATTACAAAATAAGCAGAACGACTGAACTCCTTGCCTCTTAAATTAATTCTTCACACTATAATTTATTCATAGTATAATTTAATTAGCTGAAACTTACTGTGGCTATTATCTGGGAATTACATGTGGATGTCTGGTACTTTTACAGAGAGGAAACTATCACATAGCCTTACACGTGTGTCTGAATCTGCACCTTGGTACTGTCCCCAGAGAAGGTGATGCCTTCAGAGGGTGACTAAAGGTGCCAGAGCTTGGAGCTGGACTGCAGGCAATGCAAAGCTTCCCAAATACCTGCTGGCAGCTCATCACAATGGAGAGCAGGCAGTCCAGGCAGTTTCTGGAGTGTGTGGAAAGTAACTCCCTAACACAGCTGGTAGGGGAGCCTGCCAGGGGCAGTGCTCTGCTTGACCAGCTGTTTGCAGACAGAGAAAGGCTGGTGGGAGGTGTGGTGGTCAGTGGCCATCTTGGGCATAGAAACCACAAAATATTAATTTCTGATCCTTGGTGAAGTAAGGAAGGGGGATCAGCAGAGCCTCCGCCTTGGACTTCCAGAACATGGACTTCGGTCTGTTCAGGATACTGGCTCACAGAGTTCCTTGGGAAACAGCCGTTAAAGGGATCCATGAAGGCTGGACATACTTTAGAAAGGAAATCTTAAAGGTACAGGAGCAGGCCATTGGCATGTGCTGGAAGATGAGCTAGTATGAAAGAAAACCAGCCTGAATAGGGAGCTTTTACTAAAACTCAGGGGAAAAGAAGTGTTCATGACCTTTGGGAGATGGGGCAGGCAACTAAGGAAGTGCACAAGTCATTAGGTCATGATGACAGAAAATAAGAAAGGCAAAAGCTCAGCTAGAGCTTGATCTGGCCACTGCTGTGAAAGATAATAAGAAGTGGCTTTATAAATACATTAACAACGTAAAAAAGGCCAAGGAAAATATCCACCTCTTATTGGTTGTGTAGGGGAACATTGTAACCAAAGATGAGGAGAAGGCTGTAGTACTTGATGCCCTCTTTGCTTCAGTCTTCAACAGAAAGGCCAGTGATCCTCAGGGCAACGGGCCCCCTGAGCTAGTAGTCAAGGACAGGGAGCAGAGTAGACCCCCTACACTCCAAGAGGAGTGGCTGGTAGACTGCTGAGCCATTTGGACCCTCACAAGTCTGTGGGACCGGATGGAATTCATCCAAGGGTAGTGAGGGAGCTGAAGAGGTTGCCAAACTCCTCTCTATCATTATCATGAGCGCTGGCTAACTAGGGAGGTCCCAGTGGGATAGAGGTCGGGCAATGTGACACTCATCTACAAGAAGGGTTTGAAGGGGGATCCAGGAAACTGCAGGCCAGTCAGCTTGATCTCAGTGCTGAAGAAGGTCATGGAACAGAACATCTTGAGTGCCATCATGCAGCATGTACAGAACAACCAGGGGGTCCAACCCAGCCAGCCTGGGGTAGGGAAGACATGTCACATGTCCTACCTGACCAGCCTCATCTCCTTTTATGACCAGGTGATCCACCAGTGGATGAAGGAAAGGCTGTGGATGTTGTCTACCTGACCTTCAGCAAAGCCTTTCTACACCGTTTCCCAGGGCATTCTTCTGGAAAAGCTGGCAGCCCATGGCTTGGACAGGCACACTCCTCTCCAGGTTTAAAACTGGCTGAGTGGCCATGTCCAGAGACTGGTGGTGGACGGTGCTGCATCCATTTGGCATCCAGTCACTAATGGTGTCCCACAGGGATCAGTATTGGGGCCAGCCCTGTTTAACATCTTCACTAATGAACCTGACCTTGAACAAGGGGAGAGAATGCACCCTCAGTAAGGTTGCAGATGACACTAAGTTGAATGTAAGTGTTGAGGGCAGGAAGGATCTGCAGAGGGATCTGGACAAGCTGGATCAATGCACTGAGGCCAATTTTATACAGTTCAACAATCAACACTTCCATCCCTGGAAGTGTTAAAAAAATGACTGGATATGGCACTTAGTGGTATGGTTTAATTGGTATGGCAGTGTTCTGTCAAACATTGGATTCAGAGATCACAGAAACCAGAAGGGACCACAAGAGTCATCAAGTCCCACTCTTAAAGTGAATTCAATTCCCATACAGGAATTGAAGCCACAACACAAGTGTTATCAGCAACATGCTCTAACCAGCTGAGCTCATCTCAGGGTCAGCAATCTGGAGGTCTTTTCTAACCTTAATGATTCTATTATTTTATGTGGTGGTGTTTATATATTAAAAGACAACTCTAAGGTGCAGAAAATCTGAAGAGTTCCAGAACACTGTATATCAGAGTCCCTTACAACAGAGTTTGTTCTGTTGCACTGCAAAATTTCTACCCTCTGTAGTCTTCATAGGAGCTGTGTTCCCTGCCTGAGATTAGAAGGAGTGCCTACATGAGAAAGGATTTTAAGTTCTCACACCTTAAACTGATTGGGAGTCCTGGTGTCAGAGGCAGAGGTCAGTCCTGGTCTGTGCCTCCAGTTCCAGCTGCCTTCCCAACTGCATTGCCCTGCTTACATTAGAGGGTCTTGCCCATCCAACTGAAAAATAATTTATTTTTTTTTCTTTTCTGGCCATGGACCAGGGAATAAAATTGGCATACTCCAAGGCTGAGCAATTATAACATTGCATGCAAAGAAATCCAGAGCAATTACAAATGAAAAGAGGTCCCACTTTGCCCTTCCTTTTCGGAGATGCAGTCTTAGCTCAAATTTGTCTTTAAACCTCACTGTAAGGTATCTGGCTGTATATTGTTGTAGCTAGAAAATTCAGGGCTGCACATGTTTCTCTGCTCTTTCTTTGTAGTAGAAGCCACCTTTTTCTTTCTAGAGCGGATGCTTTGAGTTTTGATATTCTGTTCCCAGTCATAACCAATTTACCCACTCAAACAAAGCGCCTTATTCCTTCCATACTGAATTCAGTTGAAAAAGATTTATAAGCTTGATCAGTGTTTGAAGAATAACAATTGCTTTAATCTTTGCTGGAAAGCACGGCTGGGTGATTTGTTTTGTCTCACAGAGACATGGCTGGCTAACAAGTATTATAGAAGACATACACATGTTAGGAAACGCAGAAGAGTCACACTAAGAGATTTTTGGTTTTAAAATGCATATTGCCTTAAAACTATTTTGGATTGTCAATGGTAGGGTCCCAAACAGTGCATGCTGCTGTCTGAAAACAGCTTTCTTTCAATGGGAACAACACAAAGGAGCAAAAGCTGCTGAAAATCAGCATAAGGACTCTTGAGACTGACATAAGCAGAGCAACAACTGCACAGAAAACCCTCAATACCCTCAGTGCCACCCCTGTCTAACTGGTCTGTTTGTTTCTTATGCATTTATGTCTTCGGTATGGCCATAGTGTTTCACATGCCTCAGTGAAACAATGGTTACTCTCATCATTTGAGCAAGTAGGAAAAGGTACTTCTAATTACTAATTTTTACTTCCCCTTCTCCCCCAGATTTGTTCAGCACAAAACAAAAAAAAAAAGTCCCAGCTGTCTACTCTAATTAAAACATTGTGAAACTCATGGTGTCTTAAACATTTAAAAAATAATTTTAAAATGTGAATTTCACATTTACATATCAAAACTCTAACAAACGTGTGGTGGTAGTTGCCCCTCTCACTACAAGTCATACCAGTGCTGAAATCCCAGTGTCGATGCAAAAAGGATTTTTTCTGACCACAACAGCACTGTAACTGTGTCTCTAAAGCAAGGATAAGCTTGTCAGTAGCTTGAAGCACATTATCTTTATTCTGAAGACAATGCAAAGCTCTGTTCTTGTGCAATACTTGAAATAAGCAGGAGCTGTGAGGTCAGTCAGCAAAAGCAGGAGGCACGGTGCTGCTCCCCAGACCGCACCAGGCTGGCTGTTGCATTCTAACCATGTCTGCGGGGCACAGCACTGGCTTTGCTCTCTTCTCTACAGAGGATCTTCTGCAGCTCAAATGATAAGGGCATGTGAGCCTCAAGAAAAGCAGAAATTGCTATTAGGTTGTGAATGGCTATGGCACAAAGCACAGTACTGAATGCAGAATCCCAAAGGAATTTTGTTGAAAGGAAAATAAATCTCAGTAACAGCCTCAGGTTTAGAAACGGAAGGGGTTTTTGTGTGATTTCTTTTCAGGAGAGATATTCAGATATTAAGAGGATGGGTGACTCAGAAATACCACAGATGTTTACTATTCTACACTTTATATAGAGTCTCACCTAGATAATATGCCAAACAACTTCATAAGCCTTAATGGATTGAATGTTTCAACATCCTGTTGAGATGATAGCAACATAATATTCACATTAAAATTAAAATACAACATTTTCCCACTGTCATAAAGCAAAACTAGAAACAGTAAGTAGTCCAAGCTTTTCATCACTGCACAGTTAATCTGGTTAGTTGGCACATGCTTAATACATGCCAAGTACCAACATTCACATCAAAGCCTAAGCCTGTTTCTACATCCTCTCTGCTTCTCTTTTTACACACAAAGCCTTATCCCGAAGCTCTTCATATGAAGAAAATTTTATTTTTAGCCAGTGGTGCTCTTTGTGTAGGATTTTCCCCTGTCAATGATATCTGGGACTTACCTGTCCTGTATAAGAAAGAAGGGAAGTGCTACAGAACTAGCAGCAACCTAACAATATTTGAAACCAATATACTGCAAATGTGTTCTGGCATAAACCCATCCTACCACAATCTGGAAAAAACAATCATGACCCTGTCTGACTTTGGATCAGAAGCTTTATCTGCATGGGCAGTGTAACTGCTGGGAAGGGGTGCACGGGCCAGTAAGTGAGTGCACCATCTCTCTGTTCATGTAATTCTTTTGGCTTCCAAAATGTGGGGGAAAAAATTTGTGGGGGAAAAATTTTGGGAGCTGTATGAGGAACATCTCCTATATGACAGTAAAAAATCCCCCTTCCCCTCAAGAAAACCAAGCTACCTTCCCAAAAACCAAGCTCTTGCAAAAGCCTCACATTGGCTTCTTTCAATTAGACAAACATGAAAACAAACAAAAGCAGCTTCACTCAGATTTTCTACTCAATAGTTTCCAAACAAAATCAGCTGCATGGCATATGCCACCAAAACAATAGCTACCAGATTAGCAGATGGTATGTTGTGAATTAATTGTTGACACAAACCCCAGACATACCACTCAATCCTCTCCTGACACCTAAACTTATTTCCCTATTATTTTTCTCACCTTATTATATTTGCTCACAACAAGAAAAAAAAATTTAGATAGTCCATCTGGATTTAGACATGAAAAGTTAACATGCAATTTATTATTACTCGGCCATCTTTAAAAAAAAAAAAAAAAAAAGAAAGAAAGGCAGTTTGATTACTGCAGAAGGAAAACATGGAACAGGAATCCCTGTGAGCTTGGATACCTCTACATTTCATAGAATCATAGATCCATTAAGGTTGGAAATTACTTCTAAGTTTATCAAGTTCAACTGTACACCTAGAGTCATTGTTTTCACCAGTAAACCGTATCCACAGCTGCCACATCCACATGTCTTTTGAGCCATTTCTGGACAGCTTGATACAATGCCAGATTCCCTTCACCTTTTCAGTGAAGAAATTTTTGCCAATGTCCAATCTAAAGCTCCCTGTTGCAATGTAAGACCATTTCCTCTTGTCTTGTCAGCTGTTACTTAGGAGAAGAAATCAGCTCTCACCTCACCACAACCTCCTTTCAGGTAGTTGTACAGGATGATAAGGTTCCCCCCGAGTCACCTCTTCTCCAGGCTGAAAAACTCCAGCTCCCTCAGTGTCTCCTCATGGTACTTGTGCTCCAGACCCTTCAGCAGCTTTGTTGTCCTCCTCTGGACACACTCCAGCACCTCAGAGTCTTTCTTGTAGTCAGGGGACACAGAACTGGACACAGCACTCAAGGTGTGGCCTTTCCAGTGCCATGCACAGGGGAACAAACCCTGGTCCTGCTGGCTACACTATTGCTGATCTAGGCCAGGATGCCACTGGCTTTCTTGACCATTTGGGCACACTGCCAGCTTGTGTTCAGCCACAGCTGGCCAAAACTTATGTTTGTTCCCTTCTGCCTCCCAGGCTTCAATAACCAGACACTCCACCAAAGGCCTCTCACTCACCCTCCAGGTGCAGAAAAGTGTGAGCCAGGGCTGGTGAATCCAGAGCTACATGTGCTAATCCAGCAGCTCGCTGCTGCTAAAACTGTAATACTATCCATCACATCTCAGTTCTGCCTGCCAGTTACCTAAGGGAGCACTGATCTGTGTCTCGCTCTACCCTCCAGGTACTGTTTTTCCCAAAATTCCAAATTTCTCCCCTATTTTATAATGTCGCTGAAACTGCCTGGTGGCACTGAAGCCAGTGAAGGTAGAAAGGGATGCACAAGCAGTCAGAGGCAACCACATGGGCTTTGATTCCTCTGGACTTCAAGTAATTTTATTAATTTTATTGTTTACAAATAAAAGGAAACAAAACGCCACCACATAGCAGCACTTATGCAACCAGGAGTTTCCAGATGCCCAATGCCCAAAGTCCTGGGTTTGGATCTACACAACTGAAGTCAGACATTTAAATTGTAGCATATTTTTCTGTTCAGCCAGCTGTACTCCCAGAGACTGTCCCCACATGAATCACCCCTTCCTCACTCCCACACTTGAGATCAACCAGACAGTTCTGTTCTCCTCAGTACAATAGAGACGTGGAGCTCCTGGAGTGGGAGCAGTGAAAGGAAACAAAGATGATCAAGGGACTTCAGCATCTCTCTTACAAGGAAAGGCTGAGGGAGCAGGGCCTGTTCAGCCTTGAGAAGAGACAACTAAAAGGGGGCCTCAACAGTGTCTGTCGGTATGTGAAGGGAGGCTGCTGAGAGGATGAAGCCAGGACTGGCTGTGACCATGCTCAGGTGTTAGGAGAGGGTTCAGCAGTGAAGGGCCCATCTGATCAAGCCAGTTCTTCTCCCCATATCCCACTTACTGTTTTTGAATGCTGCATTCTCTTCTGTGCCCTTCACTTTAAAAAGCACATTGAGGTGCTGGAGTGTGGCCAGCAAACGGCAAGAAGGCTCTTGAAAGGTCTAGAAAACATGTCTTATGAGGAGCAGCTGAGGGACCTGGGGTTGTTTATTCTAAAGAAGAGGAGGCTGAGGGGGCCTTTATCCCTCTCCACAACTCCCTGAAAGAAGTTTTTTGGGGCTGGTCTCTTCTGCCATGCCTGTGGTGACTGGACTACAGGGAATGGCCTTGAACTGCAAGAGGGGACGTTTAAATAAGACATTAGAAAAATATTTTTTCACTGTTAGGGTGATCAGGCATTGAATTATTTCTCAGGGAAGTGGTGGAGTCACCATCTCTGCAGGTATTCAAGAGGCGTCTGGATCTAGCGCTGGGTGATTTAGTGGAGATGGGTTACAGTGGTAGTGTCGCGTGAATGACCTTAAAAGTCTCTTCCAGCCTTGATGGCTCTATGACATCTTGGGACATCGTGGGCAGGCGGCTCCACAGCCCCACTCCGGGACACCGCGCTCCTGCCGCCGCCACACGAACGAAGGAAGGGGAG